TATAAATGGTAGGCAGCCAAAGTTGTCGCGGAGATAATCCATTGGGTGGTTGGTAATACATACCGGATTACTAAGTGATCGCATGAGACTCACCATAATCACCGGGGGAGTGAAGCTTTACGATCCAACAGCAGTCCTTTAACAACATAAATTAACCCATGTTCAGAAGTAACTACTTTTTGGCTTGAATAACGAGCTATCTCCGCAATATAAGTCCATTCCATGAACATAATAGATGGCGGCCGCCCAAGAACGGAAACTGAAGATGACATTATAGCACTGTGGAACGCAGTTTTGGTTTCGTAGACAGACCGTAAACCCAAACCGTCAATGTCCCATGTGACAGTCCGAAACTCAATGTGACAGCACTAAGCCAGGTACGGTAAGGGGGTAGAGTATTGCGTAACCAATCACCTTGCTGAACGATAAAAATCGCTGAGCCATTGAGTCACCCCAAAGAATCAGTGCGTCAACTAATTTAAGGAATCTGTTGTAAGCACCAGTGGCAACACCTCACGAAGGTAGATCAGTCTAGATTAAGTGGAAGACCAGTTAACGCGATTTTTAATCTGAGCACTAATCTCGCTGTCTGTACGTAACCGTAGATCGTCTTTTACTTGATCACTTGGGAGAATCGTGGAGAATAATCATTTAAAAACTAAGACACCCTACGAGGTGGCCGTTGATGAGTTGACTGTTTTGCGATATCGAATGCGATTTTCAGTGAAACTGAACACCAACATAGCTTATAATTTCCAGACGCTTTATCCTCTGAAGCACATGATTGAACAGCACTGGTGACAGAGACTAACTCCATTTAGGACTAAATGGAAGAAAACTTGTGATTATTCCCCGCAGACGGTGAGCATATCCTGTTTGCGTCCTAAGAACTACACAGGAGCCGAATCGTTCTGTATATTACAAAACCCTACAAATAACCTCTAGAGCGACCTTATCTATCACTGGATCGAATGTAGTACCAAAATTTAAAAAAAAACAGACACTAAGGCTTTCATTTCATACGATGCTTCGGAGTTTTACGAATGGAAATTCAATGGACATTCTCCGCTGGATGACCTCGCTTCTTGATTGAAGCGGCGGAACCATTGAAGGGGGTAAATTGGAAGATGCTTGTGATCGAACTGTCTTCGTCAAAGCCCCGGTAATTTGGCACCTTGTCTACATCAAAGGAGTATTTGTTTGTTGAGAATAAGAAGTATTCCAAAGATTGAGTGAAGGGTGGTGGTGGCGCAGTGGTTTAGTTGCCGCCCCCGGCACGCTTCGGACCGTAAGGTTCGAGCCCCGCCACCGCCACCAATCTATGGTGGTAGGCAGCTTTGCTGTCACCCGGGTCAATACCATGCCTAGCCTAGTGGGGCCTTATGTGGTTCGTTACTCCAAGTCCCAGAGCTTAGGTTACGGGTTTCCATGACGGAGCAGCAGATCTTCGTGACTATGGGGTTTGCATCATTACATGAAGCTGTTTTTCGAAAAACATACGAGATAACTATGGGTTATCAACCATTAAATCAAAATTTTTCGTTCCACAATGTAATGCTGGAACCTGGTCTCGTTCTAGCTACAAGGAATGGTCTGCATTTCTCAAAGCATTTGCTGAGGAACTAACATGCACTACTTCTCTGGGCTACAGTTTTTGATGAAGCGAGACAATAAAAAGTAAATGTTCGAGGCTATATCAGAAATGACACCTGCCCCAAATGGGACTCGGTCCACTGCCTTGCGGAGCCGGTTGTGAACATCCATGAAGATTTACCTGCTTTGATTAGGGCAGCGGAGCAGTATTCCGTGCACGAGCAAATTATAGACTGCTTTCCTCGTCCTAAATATAACTATCTTAGTATTTGGCAGTCTAAACTCAGAAGCGTGAAATATACTAGTGATGGAAAGGAAAAAGACTACCAAAACATCAGTGATAGGCAAAGCATCCAGATTGTATAGTTTTTCTGTCCGATTGCCTCCTGGTAGCAAGTGACGCATGCAATCGCCCAAAACAAGGTGGTCTTTGTTACAATAGGGACTGTAAGGATCAGATTTTTATCTTTCATTGGATTTTAGAAAAGTACTACAAGTTCTAGCAGCCGGCACTTGTCTACTTCGCCTGGCGTGGGACTCCACTCACCGCAACTTGCTATCGAACATAATGAAAGATGGTATACTTGAGAAGCCCACGGGACTTATAAAGGTACTAATCGGGCTGCCGAGCTCGATGTTACACCTCAGAGGAGTCTTCGGAGCTCTCCTCCAAAAGACTGATTTCTGTCCCGGGTACTGTTAAACTACAACATTGACTGGACAACGAATCGGCCCCTCGTTGATTAAACGGAAGTGCGAGTAAAACCGGTAGTTTCGGTTTTAATTTTTACAACCATTGACCACACACTTTCGCGCACCTGCTTTGGTTGCTGTCTTTGGCTGCCCAGTTGGATAACCGGCTGGAGAACCTCGAGTTTGCAGATGACACAGTTGTTCGCGAAGACACCGGACAACGTCAACGATTTGCGGCAGCGCTCGAGGATGTGGTGGGTTTACCTTCTGGCAAGGGTTCTCCGTGCAAAACACTGCGAATATCTGTAGACAGCGAAGTGACGTGGTGCGTGGTCCGCCACTAAATATGACCATTGCCTCTAGTCGAGACCCATTATTTGGCAGGGTTTTCCAGAAGAGGCGAATGAACCGTAAACTGGCCACTGGCCCATCTGGAACAGCACTGCTGCTGTGCAATCCTCGTTTGTTTGCGCAAAGGCTAGAGTGCACCCTCGAACAAGGCCTACTCTGGACCGGGCTACCGAGAAGTACAATAGCCCACAAGGCACAACCATGATCAGCCTTGCTCTTACGAATCTGCAATCCGAAGCTTCTTCCTTAAAAAACATTCCACACCGTGCACACCATACCAGCTGTACTCCCAGACATATCTCCATCTCTCTCGGGGTTCATCGGACGATCGCGCCAATAGCAGTGCACCAGGTGGAAATTCTGCCACTGCTTTCTCGTGTCCTACCTCAACTAACTAAACGATCAGCGAAAATGACTGCTCGCCCATTCATAATTAACAGCGACGTCTGGCACGCTGAGCGGATCACTTAGAGGCACGGTTCTTCTGGTTACCAGCGTTAGCTTCTCACAGTTATTCTGGCAGACGTCTCATGGTCTGTCTCAAGAAACTCGCCTTCTGAGGCGGAAATCCGCAAGAAGATCCCCTCCTCATGGGGGGATGGGGGGGGGAATCGATTGTTGACTCCAGATTTAAAAAGGGCACGCGTAATGACTGCGCCAATCATAGAGGTGTAAACCTGATCCCGATAGCATCAAAGCCTTTGGCGTTCGTCATTCTCCGCCGATTGTACACTATTCGTGAGGAGCAGGCTGTTTCGCACTGGTCGCGAGTGCATCGATCTAATCTTCACCCTCCGACAGCTGCTAGAGCATCATCATGCCTACCAAAAAACGAACAATCGTTGTGTTCTTAGACATCCGCTCGGCCTTCGACTCTGTCGATAGGACCACACTATGGAACTGTTTGTTGAGGAATAGAGTACCTGCGAGATATGTATCAACCCTCAAAGAGTTATATTGCCATACCTCAGGTCGGGTAAGGGACATATGGCCAGCTTTCACCACCCTTCGCCGTCTCCAGTGGAGTACCCTTATATGCGCATTCCTTTTCAAATTTGTTTACAGAATTCTTTGTCCGGTGAAGTCGAACTCCTCTCAGGAAACAGAGTTCTTGACTTAGTTGGTAAGCAGCTTGGCTGTTTAGTACAACGCCTAACCTATCGGGGCCTTATGTGATACATCACTTAAAGTCCCGGGGCTTAGGTTAACGGTTGCCATCACTAAACAGTAGGTGACTATGGGATTTACTCCGTCTGCTGTTCATCACCCGAAAGTGTGTAATAAAAAAAGAATGTGCCGATGAGATCGCCTTGATGAGTGACAATACACAGGCAGTCCAGCACGCTTTAAACCGCATGGAGATAGAGGTATGAAGTTATGTTGTGCTTTGCACCATCAAGGTGCAGAGTGCTTCTTCAAGATTGGCAAAAGCCTGTGTCTGCACTCACCCTGTGATTAACAGCTGGAAGTAGTCAAGAGCTTCAAGTACCTCGAGCTTAATCGCAGTAGGTGGTGGTGATGGTGGTGGGGAGCTCACATCATAAAAGCTAGAGCAGCTTTAACTAATCTGCGCCACCTGTGGCGCCGCCATGACATCCGACTCTTCCCTAAGGGGTGTACATCGCTGCAGTTTGTAGCGTTCTGCTTTACAGTTGCGAGACCTAGTCTCTCCGAGCGGAAGATGCTAACTGACTTTCTATACGTGACAACCGATTTCTCCGAAGCGTAACCCATTGTTATGTTACACTTGTTTGTTGTTCAACATTACTTTGTACTCGTCCCTCGAAATTTTCCCCTCATTCTTTTTCAGCCCCTGTCGTCCATTTGTATGTTGA